GGCGGCCGAGGCGGCGGCGGCGGCGGCGGCCGGCAGCGGGAAGCTGGAAGAGCGGCTGTACTCGGTGCTGTGTTGCACCGTCTGCCTGGACCTGCCCAAGGCCTCCGTGTACCAGGTAGGGCCGCTGGCCCGACCCCGACCTGGCCCGAGGCTCCGGCGCCTGCGGAGACCATCCCCCGGGGGCAGCGAGTCGGCCTGAGGCCCTGGGCTCAGCGGTCGGGGCCCCCTCCCGTGCCCACGTCCGCCTCCTTCCCGGCGCGGGTCCAGCGCGGGTCCGACGCTCCGTTCTCTTCTCGGGACTTTGTGGCTTCCGCTCCGCAGCGCCCTCGCGGCCGCTCCTCTCCCCTCCGCTGCCCCTCACATCGCCACCATCTCCAGCTGACCCCCGCAGGCTGCCGACGTGGCCCCGGTCCCAGCCTCAGGGAGCCCCTCGTCTGGCCTGGTCACTCTGCGGGGCTCTCCGTGGTTTTAGGGCGGCCACACCCCCCCCCCCAATTCTGCTCTTGTCTGACTCCCGAGTGGACGGCTCCTGTGCCCTGGGCCATTTCCTTAGAGAAGACTCAGAAGTGAGGCTGGGTCTGCTCCTCGCCTTTCCCTCTCCAGAACCCCCTGTGCACCTGCTGTGTCTCGTGCTGGGCCCCCTCACCTTTCACCCCCCAGGCCCCCAAGTCCAGGGAGTTTGCCTGGCTTCTTCCCCGCACAAGTTGGGCATCCTGGTGGCTGCAGCACAGGCCTTTGGTGGGCCTCTCCTTTGTCTGCCTTCCAACCACCCTGCTGAGGAGTGGGGCTTTCTCTGTGCTGGAGCTGGGGTGGCCACGGTGGCTTGCCCCTGCTTCTGTCCAGGCTGAGGGTGGCCAGCTGCAGTCACTTTTGCTGGCCATACCTTCTGTAAGGAACCGGCTGGACTGTCACACTCTGATCTCTGGAGCGTCAGGTCTTTCTGTTCCCCGTCGTGAGGTTGCTTGGTGGACCCTAGTATGTCTGGAGAATGGGCAGAGGAGGGGGCTGGGTAAGGGCCCTGGCTTTGGGGTCCCTCTGCTAGGCCTTGGAAAGCACCTGGCTGGAGGCCCTTGCTTGGGAATCCTACAGCCTCTTGGCCCTGGTCCAGCTTGGGGAGTGCTTCAAACAGCTGCTGGCAGCCAGAGGTCACCTAGCTGGGGACCCCTTGTCCACAACTTTGTGGTTCTCGCAAGAGGAAGAGCCCCTCACTTGGGCCATGGTAAAAGCCCATTGTTGGGGAGAGCTGACAAGTTTATCTCCCCTTTCTGTGTGTGTGTGTGTGTAGGGGGTTACAACTGCACCCCAAAGGAGAGGATGGATGCATATAGCCTCTGCCCCCCACTGTGGCAGGTCTGTGATCAGAGTCAGGTGGCCTCTGAGCTGACTTGTTCAAAGCCGTGGCTTACACTGGTCTGGGAGCTGAGGCTGCCCCCAGCCTGTGGTCACCAGCATCTTGCTCTGCTCTCTCAGAGCTGGCCAGAGTAGAGCCACGGACACTGACACTTGGCTGCTAGCGTATCTTCCTTCCAGGTGACTCCTGGCCCTTGGTAGTAGGCCTATTTCTTCGCGTCTCTCGTGGCTCAGAGAAGTTCTGAGCCACATAGTTGGTGGGACAGCTCTCACTTCTCGGAGGTCAACTCGATCCCTGCCAAGGTCTGGCTCATCTCACAGACTGTGCAGGTGGGGTGGAATGGGAGCACACAGCAGTTTCGGAGAAGGAGGGCTGACCAGTAGTGGCCCGTCAGGTTCTGGCTCATTTGACTTCATAGTGGCCAGGCTTGCTCTCCTTGTTTAACGAGCAGGGACGCTAGAGGCAGGTCGGGACGGGCTTAAAGGGCCCAGAATGCTTGCCTTGCCTCTAAGCTGGGTCTGCCCCTGGGGGCTTGGTGCCCTCCAGTCTGCCACATAGGTGTCAGGTCTTCGGCTGACAGCTGTCTGGGGAGCAAGTGTCTGCTGACTGTTCTGACAGGAGCAACCGCCATACCATGTGCTCTGTGTGCTGGCCCTGATGGCTGAGGTGGGAACTGGGTGGTGTACCACCACCATCTTGGAGCAGGTGGCTGTGCTGAGCCAGCATGTAACCTGAGCTGTGCCTCTAGCTCCCCCACCAGGGCCTTCACGTGTGGCCTGAGTGTCCTTTGTGTGGGTGGTCACCCGGTCTGTTGGAGCCTCCCTCAGGTGTCACATTGGGACTTCTATGGGCAGCTCTCATGGCCATAACAGATGCAGCAGGAGTGTTAATCCTGGGGTGATAGTGTGATGTTTGGCTTGATAAAGGCAAGCCCCTCCTGGAGTTCTGGATGGGCAGCAGGGGTTCTTGGAAACCCTAGCCACCAGGTGAATGAGTAGCATTGCCACACCAGCTCTGGTTGCAGCCTGGGGCTTGGCGACCTGTTTCTCCACCATGGACTGTTCCCCCACCTGGTCTTCCCCTAGCTGACCTGCAGCACAGAGCCAGCCTGATCATTCCTCCCTGGTCTAAGTCCTGAGCCCTAGCACTTGGTAAAGGACCATGTGACTGTCATTCACAGGGTTGACCTGACTCTCACATTTCTTTACCTGTCTACTCCCTTCTGACTGCCACTTACCATTTCATGCATACCCTTTCCCCTCATTGTGCTGCACAGGGCCACTCCTGTGACCAGTCTGTAGGGGACAGTCCTGTCCTGCTGTGTTTTCCACCTAGACTCATTGCTGGACCTGGCCAGGGATTAGTGACCTGTGGCACTTACACAGCAGGGCCCATGGCAGGATCAGGCTGTGCAAAGGTGCACTCAGCCAGGATGGCTCTGGCCACCAGACCCCTTAGGAGTTGGGGCTTCAATGACAGCAGATAAGTAGCACTCGATGGGGCTGCCTGTGTCCCTCTCAGCCTGCAGTGCATAAGTCTGGACCTGGGGCTGCCACTCTGGCCTGGGGCTAGCAAGGGTCTAGGGATGTAAGGGACTGCCATGTGGCTTTCCTGAGCTTCCACGGTGAGGCCTCCCCTCAAGTGGCCTGGACCCTCAGTGCCTTTTCTTGGCCAGGGAGTATGTCAGGACAGCAGCAGGCTGTGGAAGTGAGGACGGTGGTAGGGTGCAATGTGTCCACAGAGAAGAGAGTGTTTTGAGGGTCCTGGCCAGGTGCTGGTGGCGTTCATCTTTGTCCATGCCTGTGGCTTCCCGTGGGGCAGGGAGCCCTGCTGTTGAGGTGCGCCTGCTCAGGGCAGAGTAAGGCAGTAGGCTTCACCTGTCTTCTGTCCTTAGGAGGTTGAGTGTGCCAAGACAATGATGCAGGGCGAAATGCAGGGCAGAGTAGTGCTGGGGGTGCGGGGTGAGCTGCAGGTGCTTCTGGGGTTTGCATCAAGGGTACTCCCCAGCTGTCTGTTAGGACCATGGTGACTGGTGAGGCTAGTGTGGGGCTGCTGGCTATCTCTAACAGGAGAGGAGGATAGGGAACCAAAGGTACTTAGATCTTTGGGAGCTAGGGAGCCCACTCTTGAAGGCCGGAGTCAGTGGTCCATGCATTGCCTACTCAGCCCGGGAGAAGCTGGTGGGAGCCTTGGCACAGGGCGAGTGTACTGGTGCCCTAAAGCGTGGGTGTGTGTCCACTGCTCCCACTCTTCTTGTGGTCTTGATTCCTCTCTTGGCAAAGGCACCAAGAACCAGGCTTCGCTTCTGTGCTGTTGGGACTGGGGTTCCTGCGTGGGGAACCTGTTAGCGTCACATGCTGAGCTGAAGGCCCGTAGGAGAAGGGGCTGTGGGAAGGGTGGGCCAGCATCTGCTCCATGCCTGCTTGTGTGTTGTCCCACCTCGCCTCACTATACACTATGTGACCAGCCCACTGTCACTGCCCACCGCGGAGGCCACCGCCAGCTTGAGGGCTGGGAAGCTGAGCTGGGAGGCCAGCAGTGCCCACCAGGCTGAGGAGTGTCTCTGTAAGTGTAGGGATGTTGTATGGGGGAAGCTACTGGCCAGACCCTAGTGTGGTGAATGTGAGTTCTGTGGTGTGCCATCCACTGGAGGCCTGGGGTGGTGCTGCTGGGCCCACTTTATGATGGGTTGATGGCACGAAAATGGGTGCTGGGCAGCATATAGTCAAGGTTTTGCCTCGTGGCAGACAGGGTATTTTGCAGCAACATGACCACTTTCTGGGGACAGTCCACCAACCTCAGGGATGTCCTTAAGACTGTTCAACCCTTGGTTGGCAGGTGGTGCCCCAAATAGTGTTCTACCTCATGGCATTCTGACAGCTGGGCTGTGGGGTTGCTGAGCGCTGGTCTTCCAGACTGAACTCCTGAAGAGGCCAGTCAGACCACCAGTAACCAACGAATCATCTGCCTGGTTGGCTGATGGCTCAAGCTAGGGGCTCCAGAGAGGAGCACTCTGGAGAGTGTGCTGGTGGTGGCTGTCCAGGGTGCAGGGGACCAGTTTGGGGAAGGATCCACTTGGTAGAGTGTGCTTGGAAACATCGGGCCCCCAGCTGGATTTGGATTTTCCTAAATCACTGTCAGCCTTCATCAGCCAGGTGGGCCTGTACTGTGTGGACCCTGGGCCAGGCAAGGGTGTGCAGTGGCAAGTGTGGGGTCCCTGGTCCTGAGAGAGCACTGAGACTGGGGTGCTGGTGACATGGCTCTGGAAGACCCACAAGTGTAGTGCCTCATGCCTGTCTCTCAGAGGGCAGATAGAGTTCTTTTCCACCAGCCTTCCACAGCTCATGACACTTCAGCCCAGTATGGTCCAGTGTAACCACAGACGGATATCACAGCCGGCTTAGGGCATGGTGTCAGGCGGGGCTCTGCAGTAGAGGGCATTACCACAGGCCCCAGACAAATGAGAGGGCAGGCTGCTAACCTCTAGGGTCACAAGCAAGCAGAGCAGACACAGACCTGACCTCATGCCTGTGGAAGCCCTAGCAGCTGAGAGTGGATGGTCAGGGTTCTGTTGACTCACAGGCCTCTCAGCTGCCTCCCTGCACTCCTCGCTGCTGGTGCTTGCTGTCTGCTCTTTCTGTGGAGTCTCGGTCCTCACTCTCTTTCCTACAGCCCGTGACCTCTGGCCACCTCAGCCTGCTCTCTTTCTCATGGAGCACACCTGAATTTCTGCCTTGATGTGGAGCTTGAGGTTGGAGTGTGGAAATGAGGCTCCAAGTGGCTTGGTGTGTAGGTCTGGGCAGGTATGCTCTGTGGCCAGATGGTCAACAGCCTTGGGGCTCTCAGTCTGTGTGGGTATGCCCCTTCCTGCTGCATCCAACTCTGAGGACCTCGGCTAAGAGGCCGCTCCTGGCTGGCAGCTGTCTGGAGGGTCTTCCTGGGTGGTGGAGCTCCCATGGTACTCAACAACCACGTGGTACTCAGCAAGCAGCTCGTTGGCAGCCACTCTCCACCCGTGAGGCCCAGGCCCCATTCTGCCTGCCTGGTCCCTGCATCTGCTACAGACCAGGCCTAATCAGAGAGCTGTCAGAATACCCTGCTTCCGAAGTGGTGCTTCAGAGAATGGAGACCACCTTGAAGCCTCTGTGCCATGTCCCTTTGACAGGCACCAAGTAGCCAGTCTGGTGAGCAGTAAAACCAAGACAACGGGGTCCTCTCCCATGGAAGGGCTCCAGGGCAAGACTGCTCCTCAGCCTGCAGACCCAGGGACAGTCCTACCTTCCACACAGAAGGCTCCGGCCACTCAACTCAGCATCACACCAGTGGCACCAGCCCTGCAGTCCCCAGTCCTGTGTGTGCCCAGATGCATGTCCACTGGCCCCTGCCTAGCCAGCATGGCTTCCTGTTGGCCCTGTAGGTGGTAGGTGAAGACCAAGAACAGCTTGGAAACACATCAGTGGGTGCCCCAGTGCAGACAGCCTTTCAGAGGGCTGAGGGGTGGATGTGCTAGCCTGGGCGTAAGGGGCAGTAGCATCTACCTTTGCATCTGACATTGTCCTGCATACATCTTCTCAAGCTGCCAGGTGGGAATTCTGTAAGTCCTGGGTTGAGGTCTCACCAGGGATGAACCAGGCTCCAAACTGACCACCTCCCCTGCCTGCCTTGGTAATGAACCTTGACCTTTCCCAGCATCCTCCAGACAGCATATTTCCTGGGGAACTGAGCTGGCTGTCCTGGAAGGGCCTCTGGAAAGAAACTGGAGCATCTGTGCTGACTGTATCATGCCGGCCGAGTCCCCAGAGGACTGCAGTTCGGCTGGAACCTTGGGTGGACACGTGTTGGTTCCACCAGGTCTGTGAGCGTCATCTCCCTTTCCTTCTTCGCAGTGTACTAACGGTCACTTGATGTGCGCTGGCTGTTTTATCCACCTACTAGCAGATGCCCGGCTGAAGGAGGAGCAGGCTACATGCCCCAACTGCCGCTGTGAGATCAGTAAGAGCCTCTGCTGCCGGAACCTGGCTGTGGAAAAGGCTGTGAGTGAGCTGCCCTCCGAGTGTGGCTTCTGCCTGCGCCAGTTTCCCCGCTCGCTGCTGGAGCGGCATCAGAAGGAGGAATGCCAGGACAGGTACCGCTGGTCCCCGGCCTCGGCCACCTCAGGCTCTGTATGACTGCAGGTACCAGCCCACCCGTGCTCTGAGAGGCTGTGGGAAGGCCCCACCTGCCCCAGCCCTTGAGCAGATCACTCTTGGTGCTGTGGCCCTAGCCCAGCTCAGCCATTACAGAGGAATGTGGGTTCTACGGCCACTCAGAATCAAGCCTGGGTGCAGTCCCCTTCTACCAAGCAGGGGGTGGCCTCTCACCCCACGGGGCATGCTTCCTACTCCCTACCTGTGTGGCCTTAGGGAGGGTGTCTCCGTGTGGTGGGCAGGACCCACCTCTGGAGGCTCAGGCTGTGACGCTGCCACACCGCCATCCCCAGGGTCACCCAGTGCAAGTACAAGCGTATCGGCTGCCCCTGGCATGGCCCCTTTCATGAACTGACAGCCCACGAGGCCGCGTGTGCCCACCCGACCAAGACAGGCAATGAGCTGATGGAGATCCTGGATGAGACAGACCAGGGCCGCCGCACGGAGATGCAGCTCTACAGCAGCATCTTCAGCCTGCTCAGTTTCGAGAAGATCGGCTACACAGGTGAGGCCCTGCCCTGCCCACTGTGTGCTGCTCCTCTGGGGGCCGCTGAGGGGGGCCTGTGAGGGCACAGGCCACACTCCAGGGGACGCCTCAGGCAGAAGATGGCCGGAGATGGCAGCGGGCGGGCTTGGCCGGTTGGCTGTCAGAGGTGCTGCACCTCTGCACCCCTGCAGGGGGTGTCCTTGCTGTGAGGGGCTCCTTGGACTCAGGCCATGCAGCATCTAACCGGAAGATAGATGTATCTACGCAGGCAAAGGACAAGAAGATTCTGGTCAGGTCCTACCCAGCGGGCACTGTGGGAGCAAGCCCCTCCCCAGACCAACATAAGGCTGACCAGGCACCAGAATGAACTAAGGTCACCAGCCTGAACTGCAAAACAAAGTGGATGCCATGGCTGGGGCACCAACTGGGCAGGCTGTGAGTCTCATGGGCCCCCAGTCTCCATTCACCTTTGGACACGCCACAGGGCAGGGCCTGGGCCGAGCCAATCATAGAGGAGCAATGAGGATCTGGTGAAGCTGGCCCATGCAAGAACGCTGCCCACCACACCATCTACCACCTTGCAGCCCAGCTTGTCACAGACAGCCAGTCACACCTCACTATGTGAGCCAGCCCTGTAGGTGTGAGCTGTGCGGGCTTGGCCCGAGCAGTGGAGGGCATGGCCCCAGGTGGGCGCCATGGTCCAGGAGGTCCAGGCCTCATGGGGTCCAGCTGGACGGGCATGTGACTGCGGTAGGGCTGAAGGCCCTGACTGCACAGGAAGGACGATGGCCCCACCATCACGGACTCTCCAGCCTTTGTGAGCAGAGCCGAGAGGACTGTACAGAGGGCAGGGTCATTGCCTGTTGGTCTCCGAGGCAGTGGGCAGAGCCCAGCCACAGGCAGAAGCTGGCCCTGGGTGCCGCAAGAGCAGGCAGGGTGGGTGCTGGGCGCCCGCCCTCGGCTTTGCTGGCAGCTCTGTATCAGAACCAATAAAGTGCACTTGTTCTCCGAACTGCACCATGTCTGTGTGTCTGCTTGCCCCGCCCCACGGGCAGAAGCCTCCTCCCTGCTGGGGCTGGGCCTGGGGTGAGGGCCAAGGGGCTGTGTGGTCAGGGGCCCCTGGCCCTGAGCACTCTCCTCTAGCAGCCTCAGGCCCAGCCAGATCCCATGTCCTGTTTGTGGCTCCCCAAGGCGCGTGCACGCACCAAGTCCCTGCTTGCCATTTGGCCATAGCGTACCTCAAGTGTTCTCCGGTAAGTGCTCCTCCTACCTGCTATGCCCACTCTGACTGCCCCCCTGCCCTGTCTGTCTCTGCAGAAGTCCAGTTCCGGCCATACCGCACAGATGACTTCATCACGCGCCTCTACTACGAGACTCCCCGGTTCACAGTGCTGAACCAGACATGGGTCCTGAAGGCTCGAGTGAACGACTCGGAGCGCAACCCCAACCTGTCATGCAAGCGCACGCTCTCCTTCCAGCTCATCCTCAAGAGTAAGGTCAACGCGCCTTTGGAGTGCTCCTTCCTGCTGCTCAAGGGTCCTTACGACGATGTGAAGATCAACCCTGTCATCTACCACTTTGTGTTCACCAATGAGAGCAATGAGACCGACTACGTGCCGCTGCCCATCACTGACTCGGTGGAGTGCAACAAGCTGCTGGCCGCCAAGAACATCAACCTGCGGCTCTTCTTGTTCCAGATCCAGAAATAGCCACACCAGTGACGCTGGGCCAGTCATGCCACAGGTCGCTTTATGGCTCAAAGCACCTCACACCGTCACCTGGTCACATCGCCAAAAGTCTGCATGCATGTGGGACGTGGTAACCATGCCTCTGCTTGCCTGGGTAGCTGCCCTGCCTGTGGTGCCAAGGAGACCCAGGCCAGGGTCACAGGGAGGGGGAGGATGAATGGCCCTGTGGCGCCCAGGTCAGCTCCAGCCAGCGTGGGGTCTTTGCCAACTTCAGAGGGCGTGTCTGGTTGCAATTAAAAAGGCTCCCTTGCTTCCTACTTTTTTTTTTGTTGTTGTTGGAGGGGAGAGTGCGGCCACAAATGGACAATGTGGAAGCCCAGCAGCACTTAGGACGCCGACAGGAGCCAGCTTTTCTTGCTGCTCCCTGTGCCCTGGAGAGACTTGTGATACCACCCACCCTGTCTCAGGGTGTGAACAATGGGTGAGCCCAGCTCTGGAGGGGACTGACAAGGGCCAGCTCCCTGCACACCTACCCAGGGAAGCAGGACTGGCCCCCAAGGCTCAGCAGACATTTCGGAATGCAGGGTGAAATTCTGTCTCTTCCTAGGAACAAATTAAACTCTTTCCAGGCTCTTCTGTAAATGATGCAATTCAGCGAGAGAATCTGTTTCTATTTCCAGCCCCAGTGTCCTGGCTGGGGGGTGAGCTGCCATGGCAAGCCAGGCTGGACAAGGGTTAAGTGGGGAGGTGGTAACTTCCCCCTCCCGTGGACTGGTATCTGGGGTGGTGGTCAGGGCCTTTGCTGACTGAGGGTCAGCGGGGAAGTGGGGTCTTGGTCCTGGTTCCCACCCATGTGGTAGCAGCTTCCTATCCCCCTGAACTGGTGTGTGGGAGTGATTGTCAGGGCAAGAGCCTGTGCTGGAGGACTGAGTGGCATCGCTGTGTCCCAAGAAGGGTGAAGTCTCATTTCTGGACACTGGATGTCTTGCCGTGACTTTGTGTAGCTTCTGTACCAAAGAACTGGGGTTGCACCCATGCTCACCTGGGTGATGGCCTGCAGAAGTGACCTGGGATGACACCTGAGAGTAGGTGGCCTCTGCCTCTTAAGTATAGAGAAGTAGGACATCCGGGCCTAGCAGCATGTCACCAGAGGCTAGCCTAGAAAGTGGTCATAGAGTAGGGCACTGAAGACAGCAGAGACTCTGGTGGCCTCTTTTCCCAGGCTGTTTAGCCCCTGTTGGAGCTGTTGCAGAAAACCCGCCTGGGTTCTGAATCAGTTGCCATGATGGAGCCGTGGCTGTGGCCTTCCAACAGAGGACAGACAGTAGGTGGCCCAGTGTCTTCTGCAACTGAGTCTCAGCTGCCTGTTGAGCATGCCCGGCCACTGAGTTGTCCCTCAGGGTAGATAGTGTCTGTTAGAGTATGTGGCTGGCACCTTGGCCCTGCCTTTGGGCCTTGGCTAATTTTGCTTTTGGTGTGGATTCTGATGTTCCTCTTGAGGTGGCTTATGTTCACCCTGTGTGTGGATAGGGCTGGCTCAACGGGCCAGCCTTGCAGGTCTCAGGTGTGCCCATGGTCAGCTTTGCTGAGCATAGCCAGGCTGGGACAGAGGCGAAGGAGGGGAGTGTCCCCTGGAGGCCTAGAGGCTAGATATATATGTGTGCAGGGACCGTATGTGACTGCTCTGGGGGAAGCACCACAGCCGACTGAGCAATCTGTGGGGCAGGCAGTCCTGTTGAGGGGAAGGACCTTGTGCAGCAGGCCTGCGGGGTGAGCAGGCAGTGCTTGAGATCTAGCCTGACTTGGATGGGTCTGCAGGAGTATACCAGAGTGCTCCTATTCCGTGTTCACTGATGGTGAGCCTTTCAGTGCGAGTACCTGGGCACCATGGAGATTCTCAAGTGTCCCTCATGGCCACCAGAGTATGGGCACAGAGAGCCCCAGGCAGCACAGCTGCTCAGGGTTATGGACTTCATGACTGATGCCAGGCCACATCGTCCCACTACCCTGCACCATCTCAGCACCCTTGCCTGGTCCTTTACTGCTTGTGTGCCCCATCTCTGAGGATGGCAGTACCTTGAGAGGAGTGGGAGAGGGCAGCCCCTTCTGTGAGCATCAAACCCCACCATTTGCGCAGTGAGACATTTACAAAGATAATAAAAAGAATTTTTTAAAGAGCAAGCAAGAGGAGAGGTGTTTCTACCTATTGGCAGTGACTCCTGCGTCACCATGGTGATCTGAGTTCTCTGGATGTTTTCTCTATGTGACTGTAAACTTTTTTAAAGAGTGTCCTGGACCATGCTGCCCTGTTTCCTTAAGCACAACCAGCCTCTGTGGATGGCAGAGTCCCGTTGCTCAGCAGCCTCTGACCACTGCTCTGAAGCCCCTGGCAGTAGTGGGGAAACCAAGGCAGAGAAGAGCTGCGGCTCCTTTTACACTCCCTCCACTCTTCACTTGAGCTCATCTGCTTCTGAGGTTCTGCGGTCACTGCTGGAGCCGTTTTCATTTGTCAGGAGGTGGCGGTGATTGTAAATCTCCCTGCCTCTTGCCTGTCTGAGGTTAAACCTGAGGTCAAGGCCAGCAGTGGCCCACGCTGCAGAGCTCAGCCAGTAAGCCCCAGTGTCACACCTGGAGCCCAAACTGCCACCAGACAGTGCTCCAGGAACCTAGGCTGACCTGATGTCTGTCCCTGATGTCCAGCCGAGGACTATACCCCTTTGGCCCATTTCAGTGGTTTTTATTTGGGGGAGGGGGGCTGTTTCAGTTTTAAGAGAAAATTCCTTTATTTCTGGGTCTTGGGGACATGGGCTATGGAAGCAGGTAGTCTAGTAGCTGGGATTGACAGCTGACCACCACAGCACCAGTCCGGCCACTGATAAGCAAAGAAGGAGTCCCTGAGCCACGCTGGCTGTCACACTTTGTACTAGAAGCTGTAACATACCCTGGCTGGCTTTCCTGGGATGCAGCAGGGCTGGTGTGCACAGGGAGGACCTGCTGCCTTGCCCTCTGCCTGTCTATGTGGCAGGGAATACATGCCATCCCTAAGCATGCGTACAATTAGTCCAGGTATACCTGTCAGGAGTGGCCTTCACGCCCCTAATACCAGATATTTCTGTCAGAAACTGTTGTCGAGGGTGCTTAACATTTTAAAAAAAATTTCTGTAGGCAGTAAGAGGAGCACATTCGTAGGAAAGGGAAGGCTTTTGAAAGCGTCAAGACCCATGAGGGGCCCCCACTTGGAGAAGAGGGCAGGTACCTATGGTCGCCTCCACTCCTCTGCTGCCCATGGCTGAGAATTAGCCAAGGAAACCGGCCAATAGCCCAGGGAAACAGGGTGGGCGGGGGTGCTGCGCGATCTCCAGAGACCCCTGGGCTGGGCCGTTCCTGGGTTCGGACACAGGAAGTCATTGGCATAGTCAGGGGTTTTAGGTCTGAGGTGACCCTTTTAGTCCTGGGAAACACCCCCATGCTGGGTTAGTCCCATTGGCCCTACTTGCCGGCCCTAAGCCAGCCGGACTACAACTCCCAGGATGCTCGGCGGCTGAACACTTAGCCCCGGTCTTCAACCCCACCGGGGAGCATGCATGCGAGGCTGGAGGCGGGGCCTCGGGAACTGAGAAGCTGGAGTGGTGCAAGAGCTGAGGGGGTGGAGTTGGGTCTATCGCGACACTTGGGGCGGGGCCTCAAGAGTAGACGAGCGGGACTGGGTGGGGCCTCAGAAGCTGAGGGGCGGGGCCCAGATGATGAAGAATGGAGTGTGCGCACTAGCTTGAAGGCGGGGCTTCTGGGCCTCGGGGCGGAGCCAGGCGTATGCACCAGCAGAATGCCGGGCTCCATCAACTGGGGGCGGAGCCAGGGCGGGACTGGGAAGTGGAAAGTCGGGGGAATGGGGCGGGGCAGTGCTCATCACGGGGCGGGACTGGGGGGAGCGCGGGAAGTCCGGTCCGGGATCCCGCCACGGCGGCTGCGGGAGACAACTACGGCATGAACTTGGAGCGCGAGCTTCGCCGTGAGTCCGCCTCTGCCCGAAGCGCGAGGGAGCATGACTCTCCCCAGGGTGAGCCCCGCTCAGTCTACACGTGCTCCCCTTCCTCTCCTCTGCAGAGCTGAGAAAGGCCAAGACCAAGGCCCAGCGGGGCGGACAGCTGCGGGAGGAGGCCGCCTCCTGCCACCAGCTGGGGGAGCTTCTAGCCAGCCATGGTGAGTGTGCCCGAGGAGCCGGAGCGGCGCACCTGGCACCCTCTGGCTACCTCTGGGCTGAGCCTGAAAACGCTTACCCCGTCCAGGCCGCTACGCAGAGGCCCTGGAGGAGCACCAACAGGAACTTCAGCTCCTGGAGAGCGTGGACGACCCCCTGGGCTGTGCCGTGGCCCATCGCAAGATCGGAGAGAGGCTAGCCGAGATGGAGGACTACTCGGCCGCCCTGAAGGTGTGCGGAGTCATCCCCTAGTCCCTGGCAGCCTGCACTTCTTGGGGTCTTTCTGAGAAGGGAGACAGGGCCTTCAGCGGAGAGAGAGTCTTATGCTCTGGGGTGGCTTCTGCTTCAGGGAGATGACCTCTCAGTTAGCCTGTGCCTGGAGTACCCAGCAGGAACAGTCTTCTCCCCCAGAAAACATTACCGGAGCTGCATTTGTGTGTCAAGTTCTTGGGAGGACCAGGATGTCCACCCACCAGGGCTTCCCGCCTGTCTGCTGGGAGTGCGGCCGCGGCTGCTCAGCTCTTGGCATTTCTGATGCCCTTTCTCCCCATAGCTGGTTGGAGTGTCGGGGAGAGCTGTCACCACAAATTGTCCTTTGTGCAGAGGAGGTGGGAGGTCTGGGGCCTGGCTGTTGCTGCCCTGCAGGAGTCTTGGCAGCAGCGGGCCTCCCCTGAGAAGATCAGGTTTGCTTGAGTGAGGTCAGCCCACAGCAGTGGTTACCCTTGTTGGCCTAGCACCAACACCGCTATCTGGAGCTGGCCTGCTCCCTCTCCAACCACGTCGAGCTGCAGAGAGCTTGGGCCACCATCGGGCGCACTTACCTGGACATTTACGACCACAACCAGTCTCGGGACGCCCTGCTGCAAGCCCAGGCTGCCTTCGAGAAGAGCCTGGCGATTGTGGATGAGAAGCTGGAGGGTAGGTGTCTCCACCATCCTCTACCTGAGGACAGAGGAGCCTGCTCCCCTACCAGCCCACCCTGCATGGACCTCCCTGTGTTGGAAGCCCCAGCTCTGTATCCCTGACCTCCCATCAGTGGCCACTTGCTCTCAGCCCCACTCCCAATATGTCTGCAGCAGGGTCCTTCACACACCTAGTGTGAGAACTGAGGTTGACAAAGCACAGGGCCAGGCTGGACCCCCAAGTGGAACAGGGTGGCCGAGTGTCAGCGGTGTGTCTTGCAGGGGCTGTGGCCCATCAAGAGCTGGTTGAGATGAGGGCCCGGCTCTATCTGAACCTGGGGCTCACCTTCGACAGCCTGCAGCAGACGGCCCTGTGCAGTGACTACTTCAAGAAGAGCATCTTCCTGTCTGAGTAAGACCCCCAGCAGCCCCACCCTAACCCCAGTAAAGTAGCCAGCAGTGAACTGCTTGGAACTGAGCACCCTTGAGGGCAGTCAGGCTGGGCCTTGTAGTCTGTGCTGAATATCAGAGAGCAGGCTGGATTCAGCCAGGGTGAGCAGAGAAGGCCTATCTGACGTGATTGTGTCATACCTGTAGTTTATCAGGCATTCAGGATACCTCAGTGACCCTGAGGTGTGTGATCTCCACTGCTGTACATGTGAGAGTGTCCCAGGTCCTAAGTGTCTGTGCCCCTATTCCTGCAGGCAAAACCATCTCCAGGAAGACCTGTTCCGAGCCCGCTACAACCTGGGCACCATCCACTGGCGAGGGGGCCAGCACTCCAAGGCCATGCGCTGCCTGGAGGGTGCCAGGGAGTGCGCTCGTGAACTGAAGAAGGGGTGCATGGAGAGTGAATGCTGTGTGGTTATTGCACAGGTGTGTGGGCAACACCGTGGTCCTGGCCGGGTGGGCCTCTGGACACGACTCAAGCCTCATTGTCCTTTGCCTACAGATCCTCCAGGATCTAGGGGATTTCCTGGCTGCCAAACGTGCCCTGAAGAAGGCATATAGGCTGGGTTCCCAAAAGCCTTTGCAAAGAGAGGTGGTCTGTAGCAGCCTCAAGTATGGTGAGACTGTGAGGGGAGGGGGATGCAGAAACCCTGTGGAAAGTGTAAAGGAGCTGGGGAGGGCTCTCTGCCTGCAGCGGAGGCTGGGGAGACAACACCTTCAGCACTGAGAGAAGCTGGGTCTCATCCCCTCTCCATGGGGAAGATGGCCTGCTCTTTTCTGCATCAGTGACACCATGTTGGAAAGGTGATAGACCAGCAGAAGCTCTCCTTATCAGCCAGCTGTTGTTAGTGTCACAGATGTCCTGTCCATCTCTAGAGCCCAGGACCATGTGCACACCAACCCTCTGGAGGTTCCTGGCGGTCCATAGCTCATAGCAGCAGTGTCACATGGCTGCCTGGTTTCTATCTCCTTTGTATTTTATAAGGTCACCAAGCACATGGAATTGGGACTCATTCAAAATGACTTGATACATTAATTGATGATGTTTCTAGAACTGCTCTCTATACAAGGCAGTGCTCATAGATAACAGTGCTAGAGTTTAAGTGTACCTTCCCAAAGTGACGTACCTTGCTTTATGATATCAGTTTCTACGTTGATAGCTAGAAAAAGCCCTTGGTCTCCTTAGTTGGACAGCATCCAGGTCCACTGGCTAGTAGCTCAGGGGCACTGGTGATAGTGAGGGTTCCACGCAGGTTGACAGTAGGTGGGTTCCCCGTTGCCAAGTTATTGCCCCTCTATGAGTGTATGTATGAATGCCTGGCTGTGGCACTCAGTGCCCGCTCATACCATGCTCTGCCCACAGTGTTGAAGGTGGTCCAGCTGCAGCAGCAGCTGGAAGAGACCAAGGGGCAGGACCCTCACCGTGCCATGAACATCTGCGAGCAGCTGGGGGATTTGTTCTCCCAGGCTGGTGACTTCCCTAAGGCAGCCGAGGCCTACCAGAAACAGGTGGGGGCCTGGCTGGGGTGGGATGCTCCTGCAGGGATGGGACTTGCAACATAGCCTCACCCCTGCTGGCTCTGCAGCTGCATTTTGCAGAGCTGCTGGGCCGGCCAGGGGCTGAGCTGGCTGTCATCCACGTATCCCTGGCTACCACCTGGAGTGACATGAAAGAGCCAAGGCAGGCTGTACATCACTATGAGGAGGAGCTGAAGCTGCGCAGTGGAAACCCCCTGGAGGTGAGGAGACTCCCGGGAAGAGAAGGGACCTCTGGAGGAGAAGATGGGACTGCTGGCCTCCCACCCCGGATATGACACTCTGCCCTGGGACCCCTGTGGGTGGCTCCCTCCTGTACCCACCTGGCAAGGCTGGGAGTCTGGCAGGTAGTGCTGTCTCAGGAGCTGAGGCCAGCCTGTGGCTGGTTCATCATGGTGGCCAGTGGACACAAACTTGTCTTTCCCCTCTGCTCCATCCAGGAGGCGAAGACCTGGTTCAACATTGCGCTGTCCCGGGAGGAGGCAGGGGATGCCTATGAACTGCTGGTGCCCTGCTTCCGGATGGCTCTAAGCTGTGCCCAGCAGGCTCAGCGGCCCCAGCTACAGGTAGCCCCACTTCCCTCCTATGTTCCGTGTGGTCCATATCCACCTCCAGGGGAGGCCTGGTGTTTCTCCCCTGAGCTACCTGCCCTGTAAACCCGGCCCCTGAGTTGCCCACCCAGTTCCATTCCTCTCCTGTCACTCTCCCTCCACCCACTCTTCCCCCCATTCCTTCTCCTCCCCCCCC